TAACATAAAAATGATTTTCATCTTTGAAAATAATATAAAAGACACATTTTTACAATGGCATTCTTTAAATTGAATGCATTAAGCTTTATAAATATTTATGACATTATTCTTAATTTTCTGGCTTAACTCTAGGCATATGAAAACCTTGTCGTGGGGGTGCTGGTCTGTGGAACTGTGTTTGGACTATTAGTTTATACCTACAATGTCTTGTCCCAGCTCAGACAGTCAATAAGCTGCTTTCTTTTATGATATAGATAAAATCACCAGAGTTTAGATCATAAAGTTCCAATTTAGGTTTATCTGGTTTCAAATACGGATGTCTTAACCACTAGGTCACATATTTCTTTTCAAGTCTTCTTTTTTTGACAATATAAGGATTATCATAAAGGGCAAGAAATGTAATCATTTAAGTGATTTTAGAAAGATGACTTCCAGAAAAAAAGAATTGTAGTTCAAATACAATATTCTTTGAAGTAATTAGAGATAGGATTTCTAATTTTGAGGGTAGAAATGATCAATTCTAGGACAAAAAAATCAAGTGATAGAGTGAACACACATACATACACACTTCAGTAACTTAACAGGAACAAAAAATTCCTCCATTCCCCAAAGATATACCACATTTATTTCTATATCTACCTATATATTAAATATACACATATACACATAATTCATTTTCCTTTGAACATATCTTCTTTTGAGAGTGAGTTGCAGACATCATCCCATTTACGCCTAAATACTTTAGTGTGCATTTTCCAAGAAGGACATTACTTACAGTTATGTAATAGCTGCCTTAGACTTAATAAAATGAGAAAGATCAATGTTCATATATTAATTAATCAACAGTCCATATTCAAACTTAGTTTTCCCAACAATATCCATAATCGATGTTATTTTCCCAGTCTAGTATCCAGTACAGAATCACGGATTGTGTTTAGTTCTCAGGCAGTTCCTGACCTTTCTTTGTTTTTCATGACTAACATTTTGAAGAATTCAATTCAGTTGTTTTTCAGAATGTCCTCAATTTGATTTTCCTTATAGTTAAATTCCTTATTTCTAGATAGTGTGATGTATCTTTTTCAGTGTAGTTGGCCCTATAATTGATGATATCTTTGAAGGTAGTATCTTCTGGGTTTCTCCACTATAAACTCTTCTTAAAATTTTTTAATTAATGAAAAAGAGATACTTTGAGACAGTGTAATTTTCCTATTCCCCATCAAACTTTCATTCATGAGTTTAGTGTTCATTATTCTTGCATGAGTCAGTTGTCATTATCGCGGTTGCCAAATGGTGATTTTCTAACTCCAGTATTTCTCTTACACTCGTTAGTTAACTTTCACCTGTAAGAAAGAGATTTTTACTTCTTTCCATTTATTTATATCAGTATACACTTGTAGATTCTTATTTTATTCAATGGGTTATAATCTACTACTATCGTTATTTATTTTGATTCTCAAATTCCCCTGGGTTTGGCCAGTGGGAACCCCCCTTCAAGCTAGTGTCTTTGTCCCACTGATGCGACTCATTATTCCTTGAGCCTTATATTACTTTCTGGCACAACAAATATTGTGCAAAATAATACCAAAAGGAATAGGGTAATTTATGATTATGTTTCACCAGCTCTTTTTGTATTTTGAAAAATACCAGTAAGTGTGGTGCGGATATGGAGTATTAAAAAAAAAAAATCTGTAGAGATTCTCCTATAATCCTTATTTGCGTTGTTGGAAAATTTTTCAGCCACTAATAAATCAGAATTAATTGTCGTGATATCATGAAGGGACGAGTAAGTGTAGGAGGACAGGAGAAGCACTGTGCATGACTGCTCCTTTGTCCGTCAGGGCCGTGTCCCCGCTTCTAGTCACAACAGAGATTGTACTACCCTGATGACAAGTGAAGGCTTCTCTTTCCTCCTACATTTAGATAAGTTTTTTAGACTGTCAATCTTACCATTGGGACTGCTCTGGTAACATTTCTATGATATCTACGAATAGAATTCTTTGCTTGGCTTTACTGTAGTCCCCCAGTTCCAGTTCCTTTATCTACTTTTATCTACCATAGCCAGTTAGATTGAGTCTCCAAGCAGACCTAAAGCAAATCTTTGCCGTTTGTCCCATTTAGGAAGCTATGTAATTACTGTGTCTTCCGGACAGGTGACAGATGAAACAGAGAATGTTTTCATGAAGGGACCATTTGAAAGGGTGTCAGCAAGATAGGGGGAAAGCTGCCAGGAATAGGGAAGTCCAGCCCCAGGTCTAAGGGAACAAGTAGGGGAGTGATGACCACACCCCAGAGTAGCTTTTGTTGTAGAATGGGATTGTCTGACCCAAAGTACATATGTTGATGGGTGCACCACTGCCAACTGAGGGCAACTCAGCAAAGAAGGATCTGGGGAATAAACACCCAAGTTCACTCTCTCCCACTGGTGCTTTCTTTGCTGGTGCTTCCCAGTTGGGAGCCAGAGGGTAAAGGAGCCCAATGATGTAATGCACAAAATCACCCTCCCACAGAGCAGGATGGAGAAGCATGGAGAGTGGTTCTAGAGGAGCAAACAAAATATTCACAAGGCAACTTTTAATTTTGTAAATATAGATTTAAGGGCTTATTTTTGTTCCTCAAAGGGCCATCCACCATTGCTCTAGCTCCCATACTTCTTTTCCACATAGAGCCACCAGCTTATGCTCTGGTATTGGTTCCTTCTAGCAGAGCGCATACCCTACTGCTCGTAGACCCTGGGAGGTCATTCCTCCCAGTCCCGTTTCTACCCCAGGTTTTCTTACTGTCAGCTCAGGTAGACCTGTTTGTGTGTATATTTCCCTTTCTCCCCTAATTTGTAGAATAAAATGCCTTCATCTTCTCATAAAATGCTTTTAACAAAAAGTAACTGGGCAAACAATAAAATAAAAAAATGTAATCTTTATTAGTTTTGCACATTTTTAATGTTGGTTAGCATCATTTAGGGTAATAGTAGCATTTTCCAGCATGCAGTTCACAAATACAGTTTATCTAAGTAATTTTAAGAAAAAAAGGAGCCTATGGTTTGCTTCTGTAAGAAATGCAGAATGTCCTGATGTAATTGTCTCTGTAAGTTCACTACTCTCTGTTCTTGTGGGAAAAAAAAAATTGCAAAACCCGCATTATATTTAGAGCAATCTAGAGCAGCATGACTCCTAAGCAATGAAAACATGAACAGAAGTTAGAACGAAAAGGACAAAAATGAAAAAAAAAAAAAAGCATTACCTTCAATCAGTTTGTGCAGGCACTCCCAAAAATGTAAATAAAATTTTATACCCTTTTCCAATTGCAGAGCATAATTTGGACGTGACTTGTGAACATATTTTGCCCCTTAAAATTATGAAATAAGCTAGAATTAGCAAATGTAATAAAAAAGCAGAAATCTACAACTACCCAGTCTTGTTTTTCTTTTCTTATTTAGCAAATGTCTTCCATGAAAAAGTACTATGGACAGAAAGTAAGAAAAGTGATTGTGATATCAACCCGAAGATAATTTCCTCTTTATATTTATGTACATAATGCTGAAAAAGAAAATAAAATGACTTTGTACAGTATTTATATTTGCTTATAAAATTCTAAACACATTTTTTAACAGGTTAACCAGTGTTTGTTGTTGTTTTAAACATGTCTGTACAGTCTGCTTATACACCATATGTTATTCACTTAAAATTTAGAAATAACCAAAAAGCTGTTAAAGTGCTGCAAACTATTGCTTAATGACTTAAAGAAATGAGATCTGTTGAACAATTTCCTTGACTTTACCACTGACATATGGTTTCTCATAAATGAGATTCTGAGCAGTGGGAGAAAGCAGATACAGCCGCATGGTAATATAAACATGCACTGATAGCGTCCAGACTATCTATAATGGTACAGAATACATTATATTACCTGTGTAAAGCTTGCACTCTACAGTTCTTGTGGTACATATTTGATGCAATAAATACTGTGCTTAGGTCATTATTTGTTTGCCCAAACGTGCACCACAGGGTAAAATGACTATTTACATAATAAATAGCATTTCAGTAACATATACAGTTGTCAACCTTGCTGAGCTGAAGATGGCTAACCAAAGTGCAGGATTAAGCAGAAATTTATAAAGGGTTCTTTTGGTCAGTCTTCAGGGGAGAAGCAATGCTCATTTCTCAGTTTTGTTTTGTTTTGTTTTTAAATACAATAAACAGAAACACAACATTTATGACTCCAGACAGTTGAAGGAAGTTTGCACCTGCTAAGATTTAATGGCCTACCCCCCAGAAATGATCTACTTGGTCTGGGGGCTGGATTTGACAAAACAAGATCAGCAAAGCACCTCCAATTATCACCCAATTACTCCTCCCAGAAACATGGATGGAATTTAAGAACTCATTGTTTTCCTTGTGACTTGTTTTTTCATGCATGATCTCTAAGTGCAGCATGCCCTCATGCATACCACACCTTTGTGCAGATGGGAGGCCTCGTGATTGCTCTAACCCCCCGTGGCTTACCTATTGAAGAGGCCCTTTGTCTATTTCACAACAGAAACCCCGTTTACAAAAATATTCACATATAATAAACAACATATGGATTAAAAAAAAGATGAATCCCCTAACAGATTTTGTAAAAATGTGACAAATGTGGCAGTTGAAATGCAAAGAGTGGATACAATTACTACACTAAAGTGTTTCATGTTAAATAACCCCCAAATTATAGGTTTGCACCCCTTTGAACTGGTCCCTACAGTCTGAGTAGCCATTTTGTCTCTTATCTTCAGCAGTGTCAGCTGGTAGTGAGAACAGTAACCTCCTGTTGAGGTCGTCTTCCCTTTACACAGAGTTACAGTTTTCTGACAAGGGGCCACTGTCTTATTGTAGGCACGGACCTTAAGTAGATTTGTGTAAAAACAGTCAGTTTGGCATAGACCTCCCAAAGGAGTCCTGTTGACAAAAATGCATCACCTTCAGAGGCTGTAAACAATTTGTCACCCAATTATTCTTATTTATTTTCATTTATTTCCCTTTGGCTTTTTCATCTTTGCCTTCTTGCTCATGTTTTTCCACGATTGGCTTTGTTACCCGATCATAGGAAGGTGGACAAGCTGCTGTGGACATGGTCAGGTCAGTTTTTTCTGTAATCGAGTTTTCGTTTATTCTGTCAATTATTAGGTCTTCTTTTACAAGAAGATTAGCCCCACCTTTGATTTTATTTTTATTATACGTAAATGAAGCTTGTTTTACAGTTCGCTTTAGAAGGTGGCGCCTGTAAGCACGCTGAATAATCACGGCAGACACCTCCTCTTGTTTCCGTTTTAAAGTCGTAGTTATTGGCTGATAAGAGACCTTTGATGGATTGGAAGCCATGAATCGCTCTTCCATCTGTATTCGGAGAGCATCCATCTCTCCACTCTCTCCCAGGACCCGCTTTGTAAAAGCAAATAAGATGTCAAGACAGTGGATTCGGTCACCACTGACCATAGGTAAATCCATGGCAATGAGCTGGAGTTTGTTCGGTTGTGGCAAATTGAGGGGGGGTTCGAGAGCAGCGGCAAACTGAGATAGTTTTTCAAATTCCATAAACTGTGTGGCATCAGGATCAAACTTCTCCCAAACCTCGTAGAACATCTCAAAGTCATCCTCACTTAGGGGCTCTGCACTTTCCTCGGTAGCAACACTGAAGTTCTCCAGGATGACAGCGATGTACATGTTCACCACAACCAGAAATGATATGATGATGTAACTGACAAAAAAGAAAATCCCCACAGAGGGGTTTCCACAGTCTCCCTTAACTGAGCTTCCAGGGTTAACTTTATTAGGATCACAATCAGGTGGCTTACTGTTGAGAATAGGTGCTAGCAATCCGTCCCAGCCAGCAGAGGTGGTGATTTGGAACAGGCAGATCATGCTGTTGCCGAAGGTCTCAAAGTTGAACATGTCATCAATTCCAACCTCCCTCTTGACATAGGCAAAGTTGGACATTCCAAAGATGGCGTAGATGAACATGACCAGGAAGAGCAGGAGGCCGATGTTAAACAAGGCAGGAAGGGACATCATCAGAGCAAAGAGCAGCGTGCGGATTCCCTTGGCCCCTTTGATCAGACGCAAGATTCGACCAATCCTGGCGAGCCGGATCACTCGGAACAGGGTAGGGGACACAAAGTATTTTTCTATCAGCTCAGCCAGAAACATGCCTATGGATAAAAAATGAGAATATCAACCATTGAAGAAGATATGCATTAAAATAATAATTACAGTTCTGTTAAGTCTCCAAGGTAAAGTTTAGAGCCTGAAATTCAGTTACATAATCTTAAATTTGACATGCATATAATATATATAACTGTATATAATATATATTATAAATAAACCTTAATTTTGAAATTCCATATTAAACTCAACTCGATATTTGTTATAGACTAAATTGTGTCCCTTCTTCCTCACTGCCCCTCCCAATTCATATGTTTTAACATATGAATTATTTAACATATGAATTATATGAATTTAAGCCCTAACTCTCCAATGCCTGGTATTTGGAGATAGGGTTTTGAGGAGATAATTAGGTTTAGATGAGGTCATGAGGATGGGGCTTTCATGACAGGATTAGTTCCCTTATGAGAAGAAACACTGGAGAACTTTCTCTCTCCCTGCCATATGAGGACATAGCGAGAAGATAGCCATCTACCAGCCAGGAGGAGAGCTCGCACCATAAACCCACCATGCTGGCAGCTTGATCTTAGACTTCTAGCCTCTAGAACTGTGAGAAAATAAATTTCTGTTGTTTAAGCCATCCAGTCTGTGGTAATATGTTATGGCTCTCCAAGCTCAGACAATATCCAATAACAATTTTACAATACTTTTTGTCTTTGAGGGATGTCTAAAGACTATCTTTAGCTTATACAAAATTCCAAGACTAAATCTAAAATAAATAAGTTAAAAATTATGAAGTCCATCTGAACAGCAGTGGCCAAGGTTATAAGTACACACTTATATGAATACAATTTTTTTTCTGAAGTTTCCTATTGAATCCTTATCCATCTAAAAGTATCTGCAATTTTTAATGCTATTTTCATCTCTCTATGAACTTGATACTTGCCTAAATTTCCACTATAATATATATATATGTATTATACACACACACACACACGCACACACACACACACACACACACACACTCTGGTACATATCTAAAAGGATCCAAGCTGAAGCTCTTACTGGTCTCCTGTATCTAATGTTAGTCTCTCAGCCAGTTTCTTTTAAGCCTTTTTCTCCAATTGCCTTTTAAATAATGAAATAACGATTGAACTGAAGAGGAGTTCAGGAAACCAAGTGCTTTCAAGTTACACGGTCTCATTCTATAAAGAGTAAGTTAGTCTAAGTATGTGTGGGTGTGTGAGAGAGGGAGAGAAAGAGGAAGATGGAGTAAGAGAGAGAAGAGAGGTGAATACAACCTTAGTACCCTTTCCACAACTGATTACACCATAGATTGTTGTGGAAATCAAAGGCTACCTGCAACATATGGGTTAGATATAAGACCAACTTCTTCAGAGGGGGTAATGGAATGAAAATCTACCCAACAGAGGTGCCCCATATTGAATGGTAAAGTGTTGGCCCAATCATATTATCTGGTTTAGGGAAGAATGAATACTTCATCACTTCCCTGGAGCTAGAGTTGTATCTTTAATGAGATGAGCTGTTGCTCATGTGATGTGTTGTACATTCCTGACTTTGAAGTGTGTAACTGATAAAATGATGTCCTATACCACCTCACATCCCCTTGTGCATCATTGCTATAACCCTATTTCAAAGTTACCTAGAAAATCTCTACCTGATACCCTTAAAGAAACTACCATCTGTATTTGCTAACATTTTGTTCTTATCTTTATTTTCTTTCACTCCATGCCTTTCTTTATCTTGCCACCAGCTTCCACTCCTATCTATATCCTGAGGGCTCTACGTCTGTATATCCAATGTAGTGTCTCTCTTGAGTACCAGACTAAATTTCTAGTTCTCTTCTCAACAGAGCATTTAGATGTTTTACAAATTACTCAATCTCGACATGTCACAAATATTTTTATCTTAGTTAATAACACATTCCTAATTCAAATGAATGGGAATTTACCATTAGATTCAGCATAATCTAAAATGGTTAGATTAGGATACAATTCTGTACAGACAGTAGGATCCTCATTTTGTAAGAAAAATAAACACACCTGGATGAAATACATAAAAAATTTCAGAGGAGTTATTTCTGAGTGGTGGCATGACCTCTAATTTAAACTTGAATGTTCCAACTTTTACTTTTCTTAAACAGAACTTAAGAGATTTTAAATACTTCTTACCCACAATGGAGAGAATGACAACCACAAAATCAAAAATATTCCAGCCTATGGTAAAATAATAATGGCGGAGGGAGATGAGCTTCAGCACACACTCTCCAGTGAACAACACAATAAACACCAGGTTGATGCGTGACAAAATGCTGGTCACATATTCACTCTGGTCATCTGTTTCTACCATCATTGTGACCATGTTGAGACAGATAAGAATCATGATGCTTATGTCAAAAACTTGTCTGGTTACAAAGTCAAAGACCATTCCTTGAAATTTGTTCTGTAGGGAAACAGAAATGCTTTTAGCAACAGAGGAGTTTTCCTGTACATAAGAGCATCTGCATAAGCACTTTCGGCATTGATTAACTTTCTAATATCATACACAGTAACCACTGACCCTGAATTTTGTAAAAGATGGCTTACACATTAATTTTTAAAACTTAGCTATTGAAATTTCTATTTACCAATATGTATTCCACAAAATAACAATCCTTGTCAAAAGGGGATTTCTGATAAGAAACATTGCATACTATACACTTCACTCAGAGGCACAAAATGCATATTAACATATTAAGATTATGAGAAATTAAGAAACCTGCTTAATTTTGTTTTACCAGAATATCTCATGATCAGTTGGACCATGCAGCCATTTCAAAACATAGTATCTATTAACATTCCATCTGTCTTATTCTCAAAGAATTGTTAAGGGGAGCTTGGAATTTCAAGAACACATCTATAACATGATGCATTTAAAGCCTATGGTATGGCAATATTGATGTTCTTTCACCAAACAGTCCTTGCTGCTTGACATGGAATGCTGAGCCTACACAGGAATAATCAGACCAGAATGACATTCCTTATTCTTTGTTGTCAAAAATTAATGTCTCTGTCAATGATCTGTGGCTCTGCTCCCCATTTCTGCCACTTTTAGTCCCTGCAAGCCATTGTCTGGCTCATTTTCCAAGGCCGCCCAGGAACTTTGGATATCTTCTAGCTTACATTTTCCTACACATAGTTCACCATTTCTACTTCCAGTGTTAAGACTTACCAGAGAACAGTATGTATTTCTCATCATTTTCCAAGAAGGCAAATTTCGGCTAGCACAGTATGAATATTCACTACTATTTTGTTCCCTAATGTACCCCAGGAATTATTTTAACTTCACAGATCATCATCACAAAAATCAATACAGTGTGGGATAAGCCTTCTCCATTTCACTGAGTTGTTTGGTTGGCTCATCACGGAAACTTGAGATTTGTTATTTATCATCATGAATTTTATTTATTGACCCTGACTTCTGAAGACATTAGTAACTTCTAACTTTACAGCCATATATACAAACAGTAGATACTAGAATTCTTTTGTTCTCCACTCAGTACCTCTAATGGAAAATAAAATGGAAGTAAGATGTTATTTCACTCAGCACTTTGTCAGTTTGTTAATCTAGCAGAAAATAGCATGTATTTTAACCCCATCCAAGGTTTACTCCTCTCTTTAAGATTACTTGGCAACTACTCTTGAATTATATGATCAACATTTTCTTGTGCATATCACCTACTTATGGGTCTTTGCCATTTAGTTTGGATTCTAGTTGTGTAATTAGAAATCCCCTGAAAATAGGGTGCATTTTTCTGTTTCTTGTTGTTTTTGGTGGTCTCTCTCTTTTTAAAAATTTTTTACCATTACCATAAAAGGTATTAATTAATGAAGCTCTAATCTTTGCTGCTGGAAGTGTTAGTTGCTATCTCTTCTGTGAGAAAACCCATGCGATTTTTGTTTTTGTTTATTTTTTCCCATATCATTTGGTATTTCTTACTCCTGGTCGAGGTATAGGCTTTTGTGGCTTTTTCGATCCTAATTTTTTCATTGCATTATAGTATTTCTTCTGTTCTTCTGTCATAAAGATGTCTTGGCCTCCAAAGTATAGAAAAGAAAAATAAAAAACTGGTTAAAACTGTGTCCTTTAGCACATGATTTTTCAATGTTAAACTTAAAACAGGAAAGGGACAGTTAAAAAAGGAAATGGATAACATAATTATGCTTAGAATTTTGGATTTGAAAAATAAGAAATCTACTTTTTAGGTACTACAATATTATTTAATTCTCTAATTATCTAAAATTGACTTTATTATTTTCATTATTTTATGGCAGAAAAAAACCCAGAAACTGAGAGGCTAAGTATTTTCCCCAACACCATATACTCAGTGAGTGGTAAAATTTGATTCACTGAGAAATGAAATGCTCAGTTTCTAACGCTATACATACTGCTTTTCAGAAGTTAAAGACAATGATTTTCTTACTCCAATGTAGCAGTACATTATAGTATGGATATTGCAAGATGGGTTAAAGTTACTCATAAGAAGCCACTTTCACTCTGCCAAGAATTGGAACAAATGGATAAAAAGGAAATGGGCTAAGTTGGTAGAAGAGTTGGGGATACATCAGAGATCATTAGTATGGCAAGGATGTGGTAGGCCGGGAGGTACAGAGGATTGCAACTCAGGCTAATAAGTGAAATAAAAGCCTGACATTGACCATAGAATATTAATAACAATAAAAGGGGATGGGGACAGGAATGTTCTATAAGCATCTCATACAACAGAAGCAGTCATAATAAGAAAATATACTGAATAAATAAGATGAAGGAACAGTAAGCAAAGGAAGAAATAAAAATGGCAAAAATCACTCAAAAATATGTTTAAACCTACTAGCAATAAAAGACATAAAAATTAAAATTAAAAACAAATTTTCATTTATCAAATATGAAGTATTAAAAAATAGAATGTTTGATGCCTGTGAAGCTGCAGTGACCTGGGCACATCTGTACGGATGTTATTATGAGTATGATTATGAGTATGATCAGGTATATTATTTGGGGGAAGCAAAATACTTCAGAAATTAGTCAAGAAAATAATTAAAGACTCATTTTTTTGCATTAAGACTTTTGGCAAGACACTATTTAAATCATTAAAGACTAGAAACAACATAAAGCATCATTTGTTGGGAGATGGTTAAGTAAATTACGATAATGTATATACAAAGACTTAACAGAATGGAAAAATACTTACGTTAAGTCAAAAAGAGAATTTGTAATCATATGCAACACGTTTTTTTTTTTTTTAGTAGCCTCCACGCTCGGCGTGAGCTCAACATCGAGCCCAACAGTGGGCTTGAACTCATGATCCTGAGATCAAGAGTCAGAGGCCTAACTGACTGAGCCACTCAGGTGCCCCAAGAATTTATAATTATGGCTAAAATAATTTTGATACTAAGAACATATGTAGAAAAAGTATGAACAGAAGAGCATAAAATGTGAACAGAAAAGCATAAAAGTGTACATTACTCCCAAGTAATGATATTTCTTTACTTTTCATATTTTCCATATTGTGCATATATAATTAGGATGATAAAATGGGCTTTACAAATGATAATAATAAAATAAAGAGCTATTCAATTCAACCTGGAACTAATAGTTTATAATTAAATATCAGGAAGAAGGAAGTGGAAATTATACAAGGAACCAATGAAGGAAAAGAAACACTAGGAGAAGTTTACATCTTAGGCTTAATTTATTGCAAACATTCTAAGGGTTTTCACTAGAATGTATAGTTCCTAATTAGGAGGGAAATCACAGGGATAAAACAAGTTGACCTTGGAAAAAGGGCATATGCTTGGATTCTTTTCTAGTTTTTTTTATTATTAAAAAAATTATTCTTTTCCAAAAGATTGAAAATGTGGCCCCTGACTCTAAAAAAAAAAAAAAAAAAAGAGGCGAGAGGTTTTGTGAAGTTATGTACAGGAATATGGAGCACAGCTGTTCTTGACTTTCTATGGTCTGAAAGAGATGGGCAGTGGGTGGCAAAAGGGAAGGATGCAAAATAGATTTTAACATATATGCTCACTTGGCTTCTGAATCAAAGTACTCATTTAGTGGAGAAAACATTTCAAATAATTTTATGATCTTTGTGGGAGAGAAAATATTAGAAATACTTATCTTCTTTTTTTGCTGGTTGAAATTATCTATGATGACACCAATAAACAGGTTCAAGGTAAAGAAGGACCCAAAGATGATGAAAATAACAAAGTAAAGATACATGTATAGACTTTCCTCATACTTAGGCTGGAGTTCCACCTACCAAAGGAGAAGAGTTTGTAAAATATCACAATACAATTTGTTGCTGGAAGTCGTTGGTGCTTTTTCATGAGAATAGAAAAGAAAATGCCTTAGTAATACTTAGCAGTACTTTTCTTTTTCCCTCTGAATCAGCTACAAAGTCTCTGAAATTAGCCTTTAGAGGTATTTTCATGTTAAAAAAATGTAATTATTAGAACACTTTAGAATCTATTTTTATAATTATAAATGTAACTAGTATCTTGCTATTCAGATAGTAGAGTGCTAAATTTGGTAAATTTTTAATACTGAATTTCAATAATTTAAAAATTATTAGTGAAAAATTTTATTTCAGAAAATATGTATAGGCTATCTTAGACACAACCATTTGTGTATGCATGAATTTATTTGCCAAACGAGAATTGAGTTATTCATTTAGATGTTCAGCATCATACCTTTAACATTACAATAGTCATTGAATTTTTTAGATTAAGTAAACATAACTGGACATCCATCTTATGAATCCTCAATTGATATTTAGTCTTTGGATTGTACTTACAGTAAGTTCTCAGTAAGCTACCACATGTCACATAATAAAGGGTAAATGAGTCACGATAGGTAGTTCCCTAAAAATTCATGTCCTTCTAAAGATAACAGAGTTAAAACCAACCAAACACACAAAACAAAATTGTAGTAACAAATGAAATAACATAACTCTGGAGGCTATCAGGAAGGTACTCAACATAAAACTAAAGCCACTTAGGGGAAGTGTACATCAAAAAAGATAAGTGAGCTCTATCGGGTCAGTTAAAGATAACAAACACAGAAATTATTTTTTGTGATAATAGACTAAACAGATTGGATTTTGGAACAGAATGATGAAGACTAATAGAACATACTAAATTTTTACAAAGTTTTGAAGAGCAGAGTTGGAATAAGCATGGGTTTCAATTCTCTCCTTGAAGCCTGGAAGAGGCTATCATAGGAGAAACCAAATAAAGTAGGTCTTTCCCTTGGTGATAAAAACTTAAAGGAAATGTTGACCACTGAAGTGATAATATCATTGGTAAAGGCTCCAGTACATTTATGGATGCAAAAATCATGTAAAAAATGAATTTGAAAGGGATTATTATAGAAATCTAAGGCTGTCTGGACAACATCCCTAACTTTTCACACTGTCTACTTATGGAGAATTAACTATACATTTCAAATACTGATAGCAATCATATATTTTTTTACATTTGCTCCTACACACCAAAGCTATTGTTGATTATATAATTAGTAGATAAAAAGAAAGCAAAATAGAAAAATATTCAACAGAAGAATATTCATCACTTATCAAAATAATGTTTTGATTTATTTTAGTAAGATCTTTCTGATAAACAGTTATACTTGAATATTAATTTGAGTCATATTTTTTTCCTTTTTTAAAATAGTCATCATAGAATCATCCCATTTGGCTGCTATGCTCTGTTGAATTAATTTTAGTACCTAACCAATATTATAAAAAGGCAGGATATAAGGAATACTTACATTTCTGGAGTCAACTGCTGCATACATTATATCCATCCATCCCTTAAATGTGGCCTATTAAAAAGGACATGCAAGCTTTACTTTGGAATAATTCAGACCTGATGTTTAATAAATACTCTTACTTATCTATTTTTTAAAAAGGAACACTTTTGAAAGACATTTCAAAACAAATTTTACATGGATTTTGGACAAATACCATATGTTAGTAAGGCTTTTCATTTCTAAAACACATAATAAACAAAATGGTCATTTGAAATATCCTCCTGCTTGATAATCAACTCATAAATACTTCTCAATTCCTTAGAGTTAATGGAATAATGCTAATTTAAAGTAGAAATTTGGTGGAATACTTTTAGAAAGCTTCACAAATGCCAACACCCTTGACAATATGTGTAGCAACAAAACAATTACAATTTAGATCGCCAATCCTCTGCTGAAATCTATCACCTAGGTGATGACACTGACTGAAAGTTTAACATTTCTCCTGATCATAACACTCTGAGGATCATATGGGATTATATAAAGTCACAATTGCAACAATTCTTTTAAGAATTTTGAAGCATAGCATCCAGAAATAGTCTTTTATTCTATTTTTTTCCTCTGTAGTTTTTAATGAAAGTGAGTTAATATGGGCAAAAATGGAAAAAATACAGTAGACACTTGATGTTCTAGATTCAAGATAGATCCTAAGTCTAATAACTTATAGTAATTTATTATTTGTCATAGGACATAATTTTAACCCTGGAAACCTGAGAGGATTGTTCTTAGCTAGTGAACAGGTCTAGCAAAGCTTTCGGCAACTGTATCCCAACACATCTTTGTTTTCGTAACACTAACACTTGTGAAGTGGTGATGTCATGGGAAGAAAGCCAAGGAAGGGTGCGTGTGATGGCAGCGAGGAGAAACTAATGATTCTTAGCTATAAAACAGAAGCTGTTTGCATGTCAGAGAGGGAAATGTTGAATGTCAATGGCTGAGGTCAGTGAGAACAAGTCCATTACACACTAGGTATGGGGATAGAAAGTGATTCAAGGAACCATTTCAATGAGTTACTCATCAACAGAGGCGATTCTGTATAAAGCCAACTATAAAGTAGTACTTCAGAGTTTCTTCAGTGGTGGAATTTATTTAATGTCTTCATGCAAGAGCTTTACCCTACATTTTCAGAATTATTTAGCATTTTAAGGAATTGCTTGAAAATTTTTTTTCTTTTCTCAATTTTATGGAGGAAGTGATATACTTTAGTGATATTTACAAGTGTGGCTATTAAGGGTTAGGATAAAATCTCAAGAAAATGTCATCGTGTGTCCACTATAATATTTAAAGAATTCATACTTGCCAGATTTTTTAAATCCATAGTTTAATTGCATAAACATTCAGAGTAAGTCAGAAACATCTAGAAGAGAAATAGGAATTTCCAACAAGAAGGTGGGAAGAACGAGTAAAGGTATCATAGTACAGACACCTCTGAAAGAGATGCAAGGGTGTTTTGACCAATGCAGGTTTGTTTGCTTGGTTAGTCTCCTGGCTGAGCAAATGAAAACATAATCGTGGGGAGTAGAAATGGATTTCTGCTCTAAAGCCTCTGTCGAAACACAAAGGAAGAACTTTTATAGCCTGTTTTTTAAAGCTGAGTTTTCAGTGGCCAAAATAGAGCAGGATCTTTCTGTGTTTTTCAAACAATCTAGATTCTGTTTTTAGCCACTGCTTTGTCGTGAGGCAGCTCCTGCCAAAAGCAGCATCAAATGCAAATCCTTAAAGGGCTACCACCTTTTGAGTTTTTATACACTGTGAACTATTTTTCTCTTGTGTATATCAGGCTTAGAAATCCAGTAGTAAGAAGCACGAATATTTAGATAAAATAGACTTAAATAGTTGCACTGAAAGGCCATTTTATAGTGAGACCACAGCGGCTTGTATTTCATTTCTGTGTTTAGGTACTACCCTGTATTATTTCCATTTTGCTATGAGGATCTAACCCTAAAAGCTAAATATCATTCATTCCCTGATCTTCAATCCAAATCGTACAACTCAGTAGCAGTTAATTGCCACCTATCAATTAGAATCCAATCAGGTGTGTGAAGCGTGTATGTTTGGGGAGGGTGATCCATCAGCAAAAAAAAAAGCTTTCCAGTTGCAATAGGAAAAAATAATAGCAAACTTAATGATTAATCAATTTGTTCATATGGGAAGAGAGAGCAATATGGGCAGGAAAAGAATAAAACCTTTGGGAAGAAGTGAAATAGCTCGTCACTATCAATTATGTCTGCACTGCATTTACAAGGACCCAAGGTGCCACCCATCTGGGCTCATACGCTTGTACTCATAAATCAAAATTAGAAATAAAGTATGTTATAAACTTTCTTTGTAATAACTAAACTCTCTTCTTAGTAACTTAGATGTATGTCATTACTTTGTTATTATTCCAAACAATAAACAAATTTCAGAGAAAAGAGTGTTCACTTACAACTTGAAGCAAAGAGAGATACCCAAATCCTACATTATCAAAGTTTACTTTCACATTTTTCCATCGGGCAGTCTCATTTCTTTCTATTAGTTTTAGGCAATCAGAATGATTATTCACTTCGGTGATGTCAAACATGTCACCAGTTGTGGTGTTAATACAGTGGTAGAATTTGCCAGCAAACAAATTTACGCCCATGATGCTGAAAATTAGCCAGAATATAAGACAAACCAGAAGCACATTCATAATGGATGGAATTGCTCCTAAAAGGGCATTCACAACCACCTAATACACAAATGGAAAAAAAGAAACGTCAGAATTCTTGTTTATTAAAAAGGAAAAGACATTCCCCTAGTAATCTTTAGTATTTCTTTTTTCTGTCTTTTTTTTTTTTTAGTATCGAGACTATTCTAGGACACTTAAAAGCAACGTAAAAAAATCTTAAAATGAAATCCATTTGTTCTTAAGCAATACATTTAGGGAAACAAATATAGACGATATAAAAAAGAAATAAGAAAAAAAAAGTTTAAAAAAGAGGGGGAAGTACCAAAAGGTTAAAAGAAAGGCAAAACCAGAGGAATTTGCTGCCAGATGAAATTAGAATATTTGTTGTTTATTAGAAAAAAGAGAAGTAGGAAATCCTAATACAGAAGATTAATTTTTAAAAAGGCAATATATTAAATAATGAAACTAAAATATTGGACACAAGTTGGTTTGGCCAATATACTTTAATAAATTAAAAATTCAGATATATAAATATAAAAATATTAATAAATGCCTACTATAGTTTTGTCCTTAATTATTCATGCATTGCTAAGACTAATAATAAGTTTTGCATAAGAAGCAAGACAATTTAGCATCATGTATTTCATTAGATCATCACATCGTTTATTTCAAGCTCCAGTCATGTCAGTTGTTTCATTTACTGAGTTTAATTCAATAAACTTATTTTAAATGAAACATAATAGAAATTGGTTTCTTAGGAAAATAAGAAAAGGAGGGATGCGATACATAGGTCCCAAATCTGATGTGATTAACATCAAATTCTGTACTAAATAATGATCTATTCTTTTTCTATGGAAGCATGTTTTTTTCCCCCTCTTAATTTTTGGATCCCAGCTGAAAAGATCTGAGTTTTCATATTTGGCAACACTGTAGGGATGGCTGTCCTTGCTCGCTCCTTGACAGTGCCCATGGGAGCTGCATGGGAGTAGCTAAGAGGGAAGACAGAGATAGGCCCTAAGATGCTCATAAGCGGCAGAGGATGCCTCAGACTTGAACATTGATAACTAAGTTACTTCTACCTATGTACTTCTGTTATTCTTGTCAATCGTAAATAATAAGCATCAAAATATCTTCTATCTGCAATTTGATGCTGGTGTATTTTTAGAGCAAAGTTTTTTGATTGCCTGTCTGAAAAAAACAAATACATGAGCCAATTCCTTATGCTTCTGAGCTGTGTTTAAAGTTTGCAAAGAACCCTAGACCTTCTGGGGTTCCAAAAACAGTGTGCTAAGTGGGCCTAAGGAAACAGTAAAACCACTGTTGGCAAAGGTAAGGAAATAGCATAAACATTTTAGGTTGGTGGAGTCATCCAGGCAGATCCAGGTGATATAGCCTCTGCAGCCTACCAAACTGAAACATGGCACCTTACCTTATCTCATTTGCCTGTCTGCAGTAATACAGTTGATCAAATAAATCCTTATTTTATACATCATTTTAAATGTGTGCATACACTTAGATTTCTCTTGGATTCAAAACTTGGTACTTGGAATCAAGTTAGTTATTTCCCTCCTTTTCTGAATATTGTGCCTACCATCCAGATTAAAAAAAAAACAAAAACACCTTATTTTTATTGTGTCTACACAGAGTACACGTTAGAACGCACATTTTTACTTACAACAGCCAATACAGAGCCTGCATAGAATACTGGTGACCTATACCTATTTCCTGAAGTTCTTTTCATGTCAACCTGTAGGTCCCACACTTCTTTCTTCAAGCCCTTTCTCACCTCTGTCACTTCTTTCCCACTTTCACTGTTCATCCTAGCTCTGGCCTCTAATAATTCATTCGGGCAATATTGTCAGAGTCCTCTTTCTCCTTCCTTTCATCTATGTGATATGAATTTATCCTCCCTAAGTCTCACTTTAAAATTAATGGATCCCCACTGATCATCAACTATTTTCCTTATGTTGGTATTCAAATCACCCCACAATGTACATTTCTAGTTTAAACTTCCCTAGCCGCCTACCCTCATGCCAACCCAAGTGATACAATTACCAGACAACTGAGATGCCTTTGAAATCCCTTGCCCAGTATCCCCCTTTCTGGAACTTTCTTTCTTCTACAAGGTCTAGTTCATGTAGCACTTCTTTCATGGAGCCTCACTTCACCCTCCATGTTAGCTTCCAAAATAAAGATGAGCGTTTCCTCTTTTGAATTTAAGACTCAGAATTCCAGTGCTGGCCAGGACCATAGAGATAATTTAGTATGGTGTTCTCTGTTGGTAATGAGAAAAATGAGCTAAGATCATTTAAGTTCGGAAAGTAGACTAGAAGTATCATCTAGTGCTTGCTCGTTCCATTCTACCTCACTCATTCTCCTTAGAGTTGCTTCCATTTATCTGGTTCCACATTGCTCTGGATTCGAGTTAATTGCGTTCCTGTAATCTTGACAGACAAGAGGCTTTTTCTTTTTCTAACTTAAGATGCAAAAATATACTTGTGAATTCTCCAAGGTCTTTAATGCTTCGAATATGGGAATATAACAGAGTACTTTGAATATAGGGAAAAAATGGTTGAATGAATGAGTGGAGTAAAGATTAGCTTAGCATTTACTGATGAAAGCAGAATTTTTAACGTTACTTTGTATACAAGATGAGAATAAAGAGCCGGGCACAACAAAAAATTAGGGGTTAGCCAATAAGTCTGAGAGGTTTTCTTTGAAACTGGGGATTAGTTTTGTGTTAAAATGAACTCTCTGTAATTCATGATACAGGCAAGTACTCCAAAGCAGCATCTTTCAGGAAATGATTTGCAACATTGGCCTACACTGGGTCCAGAGAAAAGGTTTATTTTTATGAAGATAAAAGAACTAAATATTGGAAAACATTTGGCATAGTATTGGGAAATTTACTATACAAAGGTCCAGCATATTTAAAATTTCTTTAAATTAAACAATAAAGTTCAGAGAAAGGATTGTCTCTTCCCAAGAGCCCCAAGCCATTTCTTGGTTCAGCACAGAGGGTGGTGTATTAATTCTTTTCAGACTCTAGGGAACTGCAGCAATTGGTTCCCATGAGGTGAAGGCACTGGGCAGAAATGGCCTGAATAAATTGGAAAGAGCAGATTGAGGTTTCAGGATGCATAAAAGAAGATGTCTAAGGAAGGAACCGTCTTAATAAATTAATACTAGAGATTGCTTCTTCTCACAAATGTTTTGCAAAACATCATCAATTGAATTTCTCTATTCTAGCACAATCCATTCTTATAAAAAACTCTTTCCATATCTGGTTCATTATCTGCATTTTTATTAAATCAACACAAAATGAAGGTTTGACAAGTATACAAATTAATGTTAAGAATTTTGATACATGTAGAAATGTCTTGTCTGAACAAATTATCTCTGAACTTCAAATAATACTACTCATGGATTCTAATGCTTCTTTAATCTAAATACAAAAACTACATGAATAAAAATCAAAAGCAGGCAAAATAAAATCACACATTTTTAAGTATGAAGAATAATGGAATCTTTTTTTAAATCTAATGACTACATTTGTGTTGTGGGTTTTAATTAAGATAATTATCTTAGAAAGATATGATACAATTATCCAAACAAAATCTCCAACTTTATCTCTTTCAAAAATAAAAACTCTCCTTCTCCTACATTATTTTTAAACTTCAAGAATAAACAAAATATAGATTCATTTTTATAGATTCAATTTATGTTTTCATTGTGACATCTTCTAAGATCCTAAAAAGTTATTTGGGAGTGACTTATGCCAAGAAGTGAGTTTATGCATTAAATTCTACTTAATACATATGGTAAGACATTTCTGTTTTATTTCTATGTAGGTATTCTAGTCTGTATAATTCAAATATGCGGATCTCTTTACATTAACTTTTCCCCATTTAAAACACAAATCACATGGGCTGACTCAACTCTTAATATATTTTTGCCTTATTACATTTTGAAAATAACCCTCATAACTTTTCACTTAATAAAAATGAATATGGTCACATAATCAATACCAGTGTTATGAAAGCTTGAATATTGAACCCTAGCATCTTCTCACACATATCAACAAGGCAGGGAATCGACTGCTGGTATCTGGATGGCCGTTTTCAGGACCCAGGCCAGTGTAAAAAAAATGGCAAGGGTTTTTATGCCTCAAACAGCATCATCAATTGATAAGTTAAAGTTTTCACGCATTCATTCTAAACCCCCACCCTCACCGATCAGATAATCTCCCCATAAATGGATAAACTCCATATATACATAACTAAATCATATTCAGTGAAACTTAATAAAGATATCAACAGTTGGTTTCCAAATCCACAAGAGGGTAAATTCACAAAGGTATTTTTCTCAAAAGAAAATTTAAGACAATTGAAAATAGGGGATTAGAATATAGTGTATTTTCCCTACTGCGGTGTGATAGGACCCCTCCCAACCCCTCCCTCGTCCCACTACACAAAGGCACAGTGAAAGGATGAAAGGTAGCAAAAGGGGTAATACAGTACCCATAATAAGGGGCTGAGGGGAGGAACCAGCGCTCCACCCCATCCAAGTTGGAGCAAGATTATCCTATATAAAATAGAAATATATAGTTTGTTATTAGTTAGAAATCTGTTATGACAGAACATTTGGTGTTACTTTATGTATATGATGGTCTCTGTTTCCCTATCAATCAAGACTTGAGTTTTTTTGAAAAAGAAGATATCTAAGATTTCTTAGATTAGGAAAGTAAAAATACAAATTTAAGTACAAATTTTATTTTACTCTAGATATTCACGACATCAATTCACTCAGTTCAATTTTACAAGTTGAAAAATTTGGACTGGAAATTTGAAATACAATAAATGTTTAAAAGCTGTCAGCCAGAAATGTGCATAAAACATGCAAAACATAAAGTGCAACGTGATGATAATTTATTACTTTCTAACTTCTTATCAAGCACTAAATACAACATGCTTTATTTGGTAATGTTGCATAAAAGCACATGCTTGAAAACGTGACAAGTCAACAGAAATAAAATGAGTGCTTGATTTACATCCTGACAAAGCTATTGTTATTTTATGCTGCTAGGGAGGGAAAAGAATAAAATGAGAGTTTCTGAATATATTCAAATATCACTTCCCAGTTATATTCATCATTATTATCTCTATCCTCACCGTTATCCATGTTTACGTTTTTTAGAAAGTAAAAAAAAAAAAAAAAAAATCCAAACACTAGAAACACAAAAATAGAATCAAGAATCAGGTTATTTTGTCTCTACAATGCCAAACACATGTTGAAATGATCAGCCATTTTAGGGTTGTGTATATGCTGTCGCAGAGGCAAGTAACCATATTCATAAATCCTGTAACTTAAAGATGAGTTCATCTCCTATCAGCATCAATAAGAAGTTTATGTTTTTAAAATCCTCAGGTGCAAACATTAACCTCTCCTTATAATATAGAAGGTATTATTGATTAATAATTACAGATAAGGTTATTTCTGTAAAAATCAAAGGTAGACCCACAAGACCAATGTTGTTATGGAAATAAAGTGTTAAACATGGGACTATCTGGCCACTTGAATCATGGATTTAGCACATTTTCAAAAGATTAAATTCGAAATGTTTATAACAGCTTCAAATACTTAGCATTGTTCAGATTTCAGAAGACATTTAAAAGGTATTACTTTGATTCAGGCAATATGTTTTCAAGTAGAATGTATAAAAATAATATTTTTCTCAAGAACTGAAACGGCCAGTCTGAAACAAAAGAAAGTGACATTTTAATCAGAAAATAAACTTAATTTTTACATACCCTGGAGAGAATTTCCTTTAACATTTTAGTAAAAATGTGAAGATCTCTGTGAGAAATAAAATAAGACTGTATTATATTGTGTTAAATTGTTTCTAGTGAGGAAAAAACTTTCTACATATGTTAGGGAAATTAAAGACAAGTCTCATGTTCTTAAAGAGTGATATTTACAATAAATCTTATTTTAAAAGAACACGTAAAGCTATCAACAACCTAGAAGATGTAATTGGAAGTCTTCAATACAGCTCAATTTCCATAAATAACTAAACCCTAGGCAGGAAAAAAAAAAAGCAGCAATGTTTTTCTACTGGTATCACACTTATTAAGCAGCTTTGTTTTGATAAAATAAAATTCGACTTTTTTTTTAAAAAAGGAACTACTTTTTTTGTTATACATCTTATATACCAATGCTTCATGAATTTTAACAAGACATGGAAAATAATAGGTCAATAATGGCAACATTTCTAATCTGTAATGAATCACAGGGAATGGAAGAATATTTCCTTGAAAGGAATAGTATAACATTTTCTGTAACTCAAGTGAAATTTGAGTTATGCTTAATTTATGAATCATCTATGGTAATGAGTCAAAATTATATTTTCTATTCATTATATTATAAGTGCTTTATTTATTGTCATGAAAAATTGTGTGGATTTACATATAATCTTTAAGTTAGTATTACTATTTATGTCAATTAAAAAGATTAAGGCAGTTATAAATTGAGGCTATATTAAACATAACTTTTAAAAAAAGTTTAAAATTCAGTCAATATTTAATATCTACCCTTAAATATATTCAAATAATGCAAACTTTGGCATTATACAGACAAAATTTTGACACTTAAAAATGGTTTTCCTTTACTTTTATACTTAGGCACGTGTGTGATTCATATTATTTTTGATAAAACTCATTAAGTACAATTTAGGTCATCACAAATGAGAAGCATATAATGTAGACTTCACTTCAGTGGATTATTATCATACAGTTACACATAGTACTTTAATAGTGCATTTGCTTCTTTTTGTATACAGATTTGTAAGGAAACTCCCAAGATGGATTAGGAAATAAAGTCATTTTAATGAGCACAGCAGATAAATGATATTATATCATTTCAAGGGAGGCCTAAGTTCTCTTGCATATCACCCAGAAGTAAATATGCAACAGATAAAATGATAAAAGTAGCAATTTTGCAAGGATTTGCCATTCCTTTTGCATGCATGGGTTTTCCTTTTATAGAATTTAATGTAATTAATTTAATTTTTATTATATGTAATACTTCACGTTCTTTCATTTTCCTTACCCTCATCCCTTCAAATCGTGATAAGGCTCTTAGAGGTCTCAGAGCTCTTAGTGTCCTGAGAGATTTGATGGCGCCAAGTTCTGAGTAACCCAAGGCATTTGCTGTTAAACTGACCAATGAAACCTGCACCAATAAATAAGGAAATAAAATCATGATTCAATTTACTACATAAGTACAATTTTTGCTTATAATTACTCAGAAGATAAATGGTTGCATATTTCCCATAAAGCTTTTAAAATTTTAAGGAAGTATTTTCAGCTTGATGCAAAAAAAGTGCTTTCAGGATGTTAATTAAAGGTAGTTGAATAAAAAAACCTTAAATGTCATGTAATTTATTAATCGTTACACTAATTTATTAGTAGAGCAATTAGTTAAAAAAACTAGAAAAAAATTAATTTAAAAAAAGAAGAAATTCAGGTGTAAGAAAAGGTCATTGGTCATCCTTCTTTTATTTTATTAAGTTGTGGTGAATTTAGGGCTTTGTATGGCTAGTGATAAAATACAAAAGCAAGAAATCTCAATCCTGCATTGTAGGTTCAACTAATTATAATTGCTACTCTCAAAAATTAATAACTTGGCGCATTGATTTTGCAGTTGATTTTTGAAGGTGAGTTTTTTGTTTGTCTTGCTAACACCTGTTTTCTCTAAAGTTTATTCTTACATAAACAATGTAACTTAATAAATAATTCCATCATAAAACTTCCTCAAAATTTTCTATACTAACTTACAGCTTCTGCCGTGGTTACCTGGCTGAAAATGGATAATCAACAAATATTTGCCAAGTAAATAAATCAATGAATTTACTTAATTTGTATGAAATATGAGAGCACTAAGAAATAAAAATGTTAGGTGTCTATTCTCTAAATAAAGAATATACCAAAACTCCATATCCAGAATTATAATTTCTTTGGTTTGAAAGTGGCTAATATTGGACAGTTTCACATACACTGGACATTATTTTTGCAAAATTTTCTATTTTTCAGTGTATTAAGTTGCTTTATATTTAAATATACTTTTTATATTACTTGCAATGTGCTAAATTTTTTTGCATTTTTTAGAGAGATACACTGATCCTTATGAAATAATTAAAATAGATCAATGAAAAATAAAATATTATTGCAAAACAACAAAATCTCTATAGAATTATTTTCTTAATATATTTCAGGCTATTAAATTTGCTATGTTGTATACCTGAAACTAATGTAACATTGCATGTCAACTATACGTCAATAAAAAATAAGTAAAAAATAAAGTGCTTGTAATCTAGTAATTAAAAAAACCCAACTTATAGTAATAAAATCATCATTCTTCCACGGAAATTTCAGACATGTAATAAGCGTAATAGAGAAAAGCAAAACTCACAGAGTTTCAAAAGAGTTAAATTATATTTAGATTTAAAATGTAGTGTGAAAAATTATGAGGAGTTGAAATATGATATAACTTCTAATGAGGCCTCAATGTTAGAATTTTTTTTCTTTTGTAATGATGAAGCACTTATTCTTTTGAGGTTTTTCTCAATTTACTCATTTCATAGTAACATTACTAAGCTTTTCAAATAGCTCTGGCTTTGCCTTTGTTCAGAATTCAGGAGATGTAACATATGCATGATTCTTAGCTCTAGAAATACTTTCCACGATAAACCCGCGTAGTCCTGCTGGATTATTATCTATTATCTTTTGGGGATAAAACTGTTGCCTATGAAATCTGCGATATTTTGGACATACTTTTCTGAAGCTGAAATTATGCCAAATTGATAGCATGAAACATTTTGTTTAATAAATCTCAGAGGCAGTCACCTGGTTTAGGGGAGATGAAGTATTATTAATCGTTGGGCATGGAATTTCTGTGAAGGGCTGTTTGGCGCGTTATAGGCTTGCGGCGAATTGAGTCAACATCCTAGGAGAAGCTCCTGCCGCTGCATGAAGCAGAGTTTTTCCCTACACTCTGTACGCTTTACAGCCTCTAATGGAGTATAATCTATATAATCTACTCTTTAAACCTCCCCTTGAAAAACTTTGAGTAGATCAAAGAGAGTTTTTAAAAATTGACAGTAGCTCCCACCATCATCACTGTCTGTACTAATGTCATCGTTTCAAGAGTCAAGAGCCAAGTAATTTACTCACTGGCACACAACCCATCAGCAATGGGACTGAGATTTAAACGCAAGTCCGTCTGACTCACAATGTAAGGAATTTAAGCCACATACCCTATTTCACCACTTTCCCTACAAACTGCTGTGTTGTTTTTCTTCTTCTTATCCTAGACAACCACCATAGATCCCATCCCCCCAATGCTAAAACTGTACTAAGCCTATTTCTTACTACAACACTATCATTCAGCAAATTAGGTTAGTGTCTAGTAGGTAGCATATCCTGTCAACACAGTATACTGTTCAGATTCACTGTTCTAGAATTCGTATATGGGTCAGACAAACTACTGTGAATGTAAAGACAAAGATACAGAGGATACCTACATCCACAATTAAGAAGTCCAGCCAACACCAGGCATTGGTGAAATATGTTTGATAGCCATATGCCACCCATTTTAGAAGCATTTCCAGGATGAAAATGTAAGTGAAAACCTTGTCAGCATATTCCAACATTGTCTTAATTGTCTTTCGCTGATCAATATATATGTCTTCAAATGCCTATAAAGAAAAGTTATATATTTTAGCTTTCTAAAACTATTATACCTTCTAAGCTATTTTTCTGATCATATATATATATATATATATATGTTTTCCCTGATTTTATATATATACATATGACATCCTATTGGAGTAGGAGGGTAGAGGAGTAGTAGTTATTGCTGTTTTTAAAATTTTTTTCCTCTCAAAGGTCTTTTAATGAATCAGGGGAAAGTTATACTCTCTATTGATATTATAGTCAGAAGAAAGAGGTAAAAGCATAATTCTCATGATTTAATTTGACTTGCTTAGGAAACAGTTCTTGATGTCATATCCTGATGGTGCCACCCCAACTTGAAGTTATTTATTCCTTTTGTTTCATTTCTTTTGCTTTCTCCCATAGATTTTTTTTTGCCATAAAAAGGAGGTTGAAGAAATAAAAAGTGGAGGTTTATATTTTTCATAAAGCAGAAATTATAATTGATCATCACATCGCCCAATTTTACTACATAGTTGGGCTCATTTGTCCCCCTCTCTCCCCTTCATTTTGTTGATCATTTATATTTCTCAGTAGAGATATGGTATGACAATGATGATAAGATGAAGATATATTTCATTTTAGATCATGATATGTGTGCTTCTAATATGAACCTCTATACTTTTCATCTAAGTCTCACATTTGTTTCAGGGGCAAAACACTATTTCTTGTATAAAGTGGCATGCAGGCAAAGTTTATGTAATCAGAGAAATATGGAGGAAAATATAGGCTTATGTTCTAATTATAAATGTAAGTTAAAGAAACTTAAGTGATTATATTTCAATCAGACAAGCTTATTTTATCTGCCATCTACTTTATGACTTAAGTATTCTATTTGTGCCAGTGTTTCCCTAAAATGTTATGCTTTATATTTTTGTAAGTGATTTTCATACAAATATAAATTAATTCAATGTAAAACCCATCTTCGTATAAAGAGAAAGCAATCTTTAAATGAATCACTTAGGCATGCTGCCCAGTATTTTTTGTTACCAATATTCATTGTTTCCTGAGTAGCATAAGAACAGTGGACACACTTTAAAAGGGACAGAGAAGTGGTCCCTAAGGACTTATTGACTGTCCATAAAGAGATAATAATAATACCATACAGAGGCAATAGTCATCAGAACTCCAAAGTTATATATTCTCCATCACAGGACTTCCATTAACTACACTGAGTTGCCATGCTTACCTTCTTGTTAAAATATGAGCAACTGAATATTTGTATTCCTTGGTTATAATAAGCTGGAGGGACAAATTTTCTAGGTTACTTACTAGTAAGCAAAAGTGAATCAATAATTTATTAGAAATTGTATGTATATGTAGTAGAAATAAATCCAGAAATGCATAGTTAAAACATTAAGTCTATAATCTGGAAGATAGGATGTGGGGTAATGAAAAATGTGTTAGAGACAGGTAGAAAAGTGGGTGGGTAGACAGGAGGTAAGTGAATGGATGGATGGATGGATGGATGGATGGATGGATGGATGGTTGGATATACAGATGTATATATATTCAAGGAAGAAGTCCTAAGTAAAGATAACAGTTTGAGATTTATCCAACAGAGGTAATGGCTGACACTATGAAAATGAAAATGGTTGCAGGATGAGGGTTTGGGGAAAAAAATGTATTGGATACTAAAACAGTGCATTAGAAATGATTAATAAGTCATCAGTATTAGATTACCTTAAACTTAATATTGTACCACTTTTGCTTAATATTCACTTACCAGTGCACCACTACTAAGGAGAATCATGAAGACAATGAAGGTCTCAAACCAGTTATGTTCAACTATTCGGAAACACGTTCTTCTCAGGTTCCACCACTGTTTTCCTCTCCCTTCTTCCACACTGATTTGACAACATTTAAATCTTTGTACACAGCCTGCAAGTATAATGTTCAAACAGGAGTAGATGAAGTAACTTCTGCGGCTTCAGTAATATTCTTTAGCATGTCCCTGATTCATCTTCTCACCACAATTACCATCTCCATCTTGCTAGGTTAACTCTCTAAGCCTGGAGTAGTAAGAGCACATTCATTAGCTGTGTAAAGCTGTGAAAATTATTCAGCCTCCTTAAACAGTTCCCTGGCTAATAATACCTGCTTTTTCTGCCTCAACTCTTATTGTCCAAGAAAGAACTTTGTAAAGTACAAATAAATGTAAAATAGCTTTGCCTTGTACTATGTCATTCTATTGCACTCTGTTGAAGTCACTCTAGTAGAGGATTTCAAAATGAGGATTAGTGATAAATAGAAAACTTCCCTTTTAAAGAGGTTATGGAATAATAATGTAGAACTCCCCCAATAACGCTGGGTTTGTTACTGCTTTGTTTTCTTGTGGTGTTTCTAGAAAAGCTCATATAATTTTCCCAAAATTAATTTAGTCCATTAAAATGTGATTGCTTGGCCCTGCTTTGATTTGTCATTGTCTTCCTTATAGTGTTTTATTCACTCAAACTATCTGTGATTACCTTTGTAAGCCCCATGGAAGATACAAATAACATTTTTTTAAAAAAGGCAAAAAAAAAAAAAAGGTACAGCACAGGGACCTTGTCACCAAGAATCTTACATTCTTGTTTTCAAGAAAAGAAATAAGCTCAGGAACCTCACCTCAAGGCAAAACAAAACAAAACAAAACAAAAAAACAAACTCTGCCCCCCCGAAACAAAAACAAAAGAGGAAAAAGAAAAAGTCAAGTATGCTGGAAGAAAAGAGAGGAACGGAAGGAAGGAAGGGATGGAGAGAAAAAGACAGTAAAGATACATACAACAGTTCAAAACAGAAAGAGAAGAACTCTCATAAGATAATATACAAAAGTTATCAGGTGAATTAAATGGGTATATTTATTAATAGCTGTGGAGAGGCATAATAAGGAATAATAAGCTCTTTTCCACCATGATTAGATGAAGGTAGTTTTGAGAAGGACTTGGAGTGATGTGTGGAATTTGTACTGGGAAATAGAGGGAAACAATATATATCCAGTCTATGAAGAAGAGATCACTAAATAGAGAATATGCAAATATATTCATATCTTCAAAAGTCAAATTCTCAAGAAAATCAGACCATGGGAAATGCTAGTCATGGGAAAAACAAAGCTCTTATAACTGTTGTCCATGTTGTACCAGGCTCAACTAGGTACCATTCAGGTATCGGATGTGGGCTGTGCTTATTTCCTGCTTCATCCAGTAAGCTTTGGAAAATGATGATTTTGTTAAAAAAATCACAGTTTAGCATTTGCAAGTCATTTAACTTTAGTAGTCGGAAAGTTATTCTTAAGGCAAATTCTGTGTATGAGAATTTTGATTGGTGTTTAAGATGCCACTCCTTGTGAAATCACCATTTTATTTAAAAAATATAAATTACTAGTTTTGGTTACATTAAAAATAGTTTTCTCCATGTTTGTGATCTTTTACACATAATGGGCAGAATTAACCAAAAATAACAATAGATTTTAAAACTGTTAGCATATTGGAGGGAATTGAAATAGATCTACTAAAGGTTCTATTGTATTATGAATGGTCCATCTTGGGTGATCAACAGCTAAACAAACAAACAAACAAAAACCCTGCACTCTATAAATGGAAGATTAACATAAAGGTCATTTTCTTACCTTCAGTGAAACAGGCTTCAGGTTCAAGGGTTTCCTCAGGTTCCACTACAGGCTGTTCTTCTGCAGGTGCCCCAATGTCTACAGTGCTGCCTTCAGAGGAACTACTGCTTCCATTCAGTTTCTGTTCATGAGATGGACATAAAAAGTAAGTCACCTCAATTTCAGTAACTAATAGTCTAGAAAGAAAGAACTGGTGCTATGAACTGATTTTGGATTCTCTTTGAAGCAAAGAGATTTTAAGTTTGAGTAAAAGACGGATTGAATAAGAAAAGGAGATAAGGAAATTGTCTGTGTTATCTCCTTTTCCATTACTCACAATGTTAGTATGAAATCAAATTGTTACGCTATGAAGTTACAAATGGCCATCAGGAACTGGTACTAAGCAAACCACTGAATTAGAGGAGCCCCAGAGGGAGGGTGAGGGGGAAGGAAAGTTAGTGTAATTGTTCTCATTTACAGATAAGGGAGCTAAGGCTCAGACAGGTTAAATACTTTGTCTAACATCATATAACCAGTAAGTGAGAAAGCCAATATTTGAGAGAATTACTCTTGAGCCCAAAGTCCATGCTCTGTCTTCTGTGCAATCACACCATTTCTGAAACAGTGTATTGACACACTTATAACTTTTCCATCAATTTAAAACTGAAAATAATCCATTGAAAAAATAGCAAGTTTAGTCTAACAGGTGAAGAGAATCTATAATTCGATCTTGAAGTGAAAAATGAAAAACAAAGACATCTGTTCACACCACAAATTCATTATGGCATTTTATATAATATAAATATTCAGTATCTTTATGGAAATTATTTCATCAGCTGCAACAAGCTAGCTTTTTGGTAGCTGTAGACATGAGTTCTATTTAATTTTTGTTTACAGTAATTCTGCCAAACTAATTATATACTTGTTATAAAGCAAATGTCACAATAGTAACTTATGTGAAAGCAATAATAAAACCCTTTGTTATATAGTATTACTTCAACTCACAGGGAAATTTTGGTTGTTTTTTCTTGTCTGTTTCAAATTTTCATTTAAATTTTAGTTAACATCTAGTGTAATATTGGTTTCAGGAGCAGAATTCAGTGACTCATCACTTACACAGAGCACCCAGTTCACAGGGAAGTTTTTTAAAGTAATGCTTGAAAAGGCTTTAAAATTTTTGGACAAATCCACCTTTTTTTTTTAAGATTTTATTTATTTATTTGAGAGAGAGAGAATGAGAGATAGAGAGCATGAGAGGGAAGAGGGTCAGAGGGAGAAGCAGACTCCCTGCCGAGCAGGGAGCCCGATATGGGACTCGATCCCAGGACCCCGGGATCATGACCTGAGCCGAAGGCAGTTGCTTAACCAACTGAGCCACCCAGGTGCCCCAAATCCACCTTTTGCTTATCACAGTTCTTCACATATGGTGCCAGATATCAGCCTCCATATCAAACTTTGTATCCATTACTAAATACCATTATTAGTCACCTGGCTTTCAGATTTCCAATCAGCCATTGTGAGTAATAAGATAAAAAGATGTGAACCTAAAATAATATGAAATTAATTTTATCGAATGCCTCTTAATTGCCTCCATAAGTATCGTCCTCTGATGTGTCCTGCCTGGATGATGATAAAATAAATTGCTACCCTTTTTTATGCACAGAGTTACTCCAGGTCTAACAAGTTCGGATTTTCTACAGATGAGAGTGCTATTGCCAATATATCAAACTTTATTCTTAAGAATATTCTTTAAAGTTAGCTATTCTTCTTGTACAACCCAATATGTAATATTGGGTTTATGTATGTTACATTACATATGTTAACATATGTAATATGTTACCAGTTACAAGTGATCCTACACATGCTTACAAATTAATTTCCAAACATTTCTCAAGCCACATAATTATATTCTATAGTCTGCCTGAAATACTGTGTGAAAGTAGAAGTGTACCTAATGTTACTCAAACTAAACATGCTCTCAAGATAATAACCCTATATGATATCTTCTATTTTGAATTTATTGAGGTTTACTTTGCTATCCAATATATTGTTAATTTATATAAATATATACATGGGCACTTGAAAATATGAATTTTCTACATGTATAAATTTTGAGATAATATATACATCCATGACATTTACTTTTATTAATTACATTATTCAAATTATCAGTGTCCCTCTTTAATTTTTCTTTGTTTTGTTTTATCAGAAGCTAAGAGAATGGTATTAAAACACTCACAACCATTTTTATGTATTTTTATCAATATATCCTTATATTTTTCATTGTTGAAATCAAAGATGATCTGTCTCCAAATTCTTTATTTCCTTGGAATAATAACACAATTACTCCCAGAGAGAAGGCAAAGATTTTTAGATGTGTGGCAAAAACCCATCTCTAATACTAAAAAAATTGGATAACAGCGAAACTAGAACATTCTCAAACAAGTACTTTCGTCGATTTAAAAACCAATAAGGAAATAAAGCCTAAGCCCAGCAGGAGAAGAGAAGTAATAAAGATCAGAGCAGAAATCAATGAAATAGAAACCAAAAGAACAGTAGAACAGATCAATGAAACTAGGAGCTGGTTCTTTGAAAGAATTAATAAGATTGATAATCCCCTGGCCAGACTTATCAAAAAGAAAGAGAAAGGACCCAAATAAATAAAATCATGAATGAAAGAGAGATCACAACCAACACCAAAGAAATACAAACAATTATAAGAACATATTATGAGCAACTATATGCCAGCAAATTAGACAATCTGGAAGAAATGGATGCATTCCTAGAGATGTATAAACTACCAAAACTGAACCAGGAAGAAATAGAAAAAACCTGAACAGACCCATAACCACTAAGGAATCTCCCGACAAACAAGAGCCCAGGGCCAGATGGCTTCCCAGGGGAATTCTACCGAACATTTCAAGAAGAATTAATACCTATTCTTCTGAAACTGTTCCAAAAAATAGAAATGGAAGGAAAACTTCCAAACTCATTTTATGAGACCAGCATTACCTCGATCCCAAAATCAGACAAAGACCCCTTCAAAAAGGAGAACTACAGACCAATATCCCTGATGAACATGGATACAAAAATTCTCACCAAAATACTAGCTAATAGGATCCAACAGTATATTAAAAGGATTATTCACCACTACCAAGTGGGACTTGTTCCTGGGCTGCAAGTTTGGTTCAACATCCGCACATCAATCAATGTGATACAATACATTAATAAAAGAAAGAACAAGAACCATATGATACTCTCAAGAGATGCAGAAAAAGCATTTGACAAAGTACAGCATCCCTTCTTGATTAAAACTCTTCACAGTGTAGGGATAGAGGGTACACACCTAATATCATAAAAGCCATCTATGAAAAACCCACAGCAAATATCATTCTCAATGGGGAAAGACTGAGAGCTTTTCCTCTAAGGTCAGGAACATGGTAGGGATGTCCACTATCACCACTGCTATTCAACATAGTTCTAGAAGTCCTAGCCTCAGCAATCAGACAACAAAAAGAAATAAAAGGCATCCAAATTGGCAAAGAAGAAGTCAACCTCTCACTCTTTGAGATGATATGATACTTTATCATATCAATCTTTTGGGAAAACCCAAAAGATTCCCCCCCAAAACTGCTAGAACTCATGAAGGAATTCAGTGAAGTTCCAGGATATAAAATCAATGCACAGAAATCAGTTGCATTTCTATACAACAACAAAACAGAAGAAAAAGAAATTGAGGAGTCAATCCCATTTACAATTGCACCCAAAACTATAAGACACCTAGGAATAAATCTAACCAAAGGCAAAGGATCCATACTCAGACAGCTATAGAATACTCATGAAAGAAATTGAGGAAGACACAAAGAAACGAAAAAAACGTTCCATGCTCATGGATTGATTTAATAAATACTGTGAAAATGTCTATGCTGCCTAGAGCATTTAATGCAATCCCTATCAAAATACCATCAACTTTTTTTCAAAGAAATGGAACAAATAATCCTAAAATTTGTATGGAACCAGAAAAGACCCTGAATAGACAGAGCAATATTGAAAAAGAAAAGCAAGCTGGTGACATCACAACTCTGGACAACAATAATCTTCGACAAAGCAGGAAAGAATGTCCAATGGAAAAAAGACAGTCTCTTCAACAAATAGTGTTGGCAAAATTGGGCAGCCACATGCAGAAGAATGAAACTGGACCATTTCCTTACACCACACAGAAAAATAGACTCAAAATGGATGAAAGACCTCAATGTGAGGCAGAAATCCATCAAAATCCTTGAGGAGAACACAGGCAGCAACCTCTTTGACCTCAGCCACAGCAACCTCTTCCTAGACACATTGCCAAAGGTAAGGGAAGCAAGGGCAAAAATGAACTATTGGGACTTCAACAAGATAAAAAGCTTTTGCACAGCAAAGGAGACAATCAACAAAACCAAAAGACAACCCACAGAATGGGAGAAGATATTTGCAAATGACATATCAGATAAAGGGCTAGTATCCAAAATCAATAAAGAATTTACCAAACTCAACACCCAAAAAACAAATAACCCAATCAAGAAATGGGCAGAAGACCTGAACAGACATTTCTGCAAAGAAGACATCCAAATGAACAACAGACACATGAAAAAGTGCTCAACATCGCTCGGCATTAGGGAAATACAAATCAAAACCTCAATGAGATACCACCTCACACCAGTCAGAATGGCTAAAATTAATAAGTCAGTAAATGTCAGATGTTGGCGAGGATGCGGAGAAAGGGGAACCCTCCTACACTGTTGGTGGGAATGCAAGCTGGTGCAGCCACTCTGGAAAACACTGTGCAGGTTCCTCATAAAGTTGAAAATAGAGCTACCCTTGACCCAGCAATTGCACTACTTAGTATTTACCCCAAAGATACAAATGTAGGGATCCGAAGGGGCATGTGCACCCCAATGTTTGTAGCAGCAATGTCCACAATAGCCAAACTATGGAAAGAGCCTAGATGTCCATCAACAGATGAATGGATAAAGAAGATGTGGTATACACACACACACACACACACACACACACACACACACACACACACACACAATGGAATATCATGCAGTATCAAAAAATGAAATCTTGTCATTTGCAACGATGTGGACGGAACTAGAGGGT